AATAACTAGTTAGTTATTTTACTGAATGGCAAATCAAGAAAGTATTTCAACTACTTTATCACGTGGCTATTTTACTTACGAATTAAGCTCATAGTACATATTCAATATATTCAATATATAGACAATATTTTATGACTACTAGTTGTGCTACTTCTGTAAAGCTGAGTCAGAAAAAACATCCTTTTTGAGAATCACATTAAAAATCCATCTTTGACATTAGCAATGGGAAAATAAAGTATAATAAGTAGAAGCTCCGTGAAAAATGAAAATGGTTACTTAGCATAAAAGGATGTTTTGCAAAGATTTAGAATTATAAGCTCTCACCTTTTAAAAAAGTCTTTGGGCAAGAAATGAAATAGTGTAAAATCAAAGGATTGAGAGGATTTAAAAATCATTAAGAAACTTTAGAAATGCAGGTAACAGTTTGACTAAATAAAGCAACAATAAATCATGAAATTAGCTGAAACCAGTGAGAAATTTCTATTCAAAACAGGGCCATTAAAAAATCTACTATCGGTAAGCATCTCTGTGAAAATGCACAGAAAATAATAGATTTATTGTCACTCAATTGGAAAAGAGATATATTTTAATTCAATTAAAATTTTAATAGGTATATTTCATAGACAACAAATTCTAAAAAAGTATACTAAAACTAAAAGATAGCTTCTCTTATCTGAGCAACGTTTACTTTAGATTTAGTTATAACAAATTATAAGGGAAATAATTACCACTGTAGTAGGAAGCATTTCTATTTTAAGAAAATGTAGAATAAAGTTGGAATCTTTTTCTTTGGGTGCATATTTTAATATCTTTGGTAAAATAGTATGGGAAGAAAAATATCAACAACTAAAGATAAAATGCAAGGGCATTATTTTAAGACTGCACATTATTACCCTAAAACTTTAATATACTTTGGCACTATGATATGTAATCGATTATGATATAGATCCATTTTGAATCACATTCAAAGGGGTTTACCTGGAGGGACCTTGTCATAATATTCAGTTCTCTACTCTAAATGAGTAAGTTTACTGTGCACCACTGCCACTTATCTCTATGTGTTAAATTCAAAATTATGTACATCTCTTCAAACATATATCTATGTTAGTGAGAGCTTACTACTGTCAACAGGACTCAGAAATTTTCTATTCAGAACTTACAAGTATATTTTTCAGCACCAGTTAAAATTATATAAATACTTTAAATCCATTCATACTCTAAAATACGGTATGACACAAATCTTCCCTTAAATATGAACAATATCTTTAGCAATAACATTTTATTCATCCAGTTTAAATATTATTATAAAATTGTGATTGTTAAAGAAAAGTTTTAGGTTTTATAAGGAACAAATGAAATCACTTTAAATCCTTTGGTGGCCCAGGTGTTTTCCTCTTTGTGTTCCCTAACCCCCTATTGTAACTGAGCACATCTGGAAGGTGTTAGTGTAGCAATGAAATCTCTATGGTCAAGATTATAAAAAAAGAATGTCCACACCAAAAGAAACTATATTTGAAGTTCAGGTTTTCCTCAAAACATTTTACATTTTAATATCTCTGGCAAGCATATCTTAATTTTGTTGTCTTTCCATTTAGAAAATGACCTACATAAATCAGAGTTATGAAAGTTTTAAATGAAACCAAGAATATAAAGACAACTCCAATATTGAAAGGTTAAACAATGTAATATGTAGTTAGCTCTAAAATTTACTCATGCCAAGTTCATACAAATCTTGTTTGTGCCTTCTGGGGTGGGGTTACAGGGAAGTATAAACTGAAATACAGATGATTACATTAAGTATAAAACTTAGCCATTCTTTTTATTTGCCCTTAGAAATAAGTACAGACTAAAATTTGTCACAATACCCCCAATATTCTTGTAAGTCCTTACTCAGTTTAGAAAATTCTTATTAAATTCCCAATGCTGGTATTATTTAGTACCAGAATATTACTTTATATTAAATATGCTTCCCTGATAATCTAGACAAATGCTCCAGAGAAAATGCATTCTGGATTGGGGAAATGAGAATTTGCATACATTTTTGCATTTTCCTGACCATGTAAAGAATGTTATATATCATTTGAAAAACTAATGAGTATATTTTTTCCTAGCCAATTTTTTCTTAAGCAGTAATTTATTGGAAAATAATGTAAGTTAATTGCATGTATTTAAAATTTTCCACTCTCAGTTTTGTTCAGTTTATACTAGAATCCAAACATATGTAGAGACACATTTAAGTGCTTTTTATAAGAATGAAAAATATTCTGTTGTGTTATTACTAGACAATAAAGAAACTTTTTCAGACCACGGATTTGATCAGGAAGCCATATATGCTTGAATGTAAGAAATACATATATATGGAAACAAAAATATGTGAGCAGTTACACAATATATAATATAGACTTCAGAGTCACATTATAAGATAAATTTTTCCACCAAATCATCTTTTGCAAATCATATTGAAGACTACCGTGTACAATTTTGTGCTGTCCAATCTAATGTGCACAATTATATGGCAGTATTAAAATTGAAGCTATGTGTTCCAAAATACAATAAACGTAATTTTGGACTCCTAACTAAAAAAAATTACATTTGAAGTTGAGGGTTTCCTTGAAGAATTTTACATTTTAACATCTCTGGCAAGCATATCTTACTTTAGTTGTCTTTCCATTTAGCAATGGCTCAATTCTTATCATAGACTATTATACATATTCAGTGTTAAAACTGGAAGTTCATTTGACTCAAAAACACAAAGGTGCCTTAGATCCTTTGATGTACTTGAACATTGGTGAGCTAAAACATAAAATGGTTGCTTGAAACTATTAATTTGAGCACGTGAAACACAAAATTGATACTGTTTTCCAGCTATTATGATTCAAGTTTTAGATAAAAACTATTTTCTCCTGTAGTGTCATACTAGAAATATTTTTTCAAAATATGCTTTTAAACTAAAACTTTCAGAAATATGTAAACTTCCTGTCACTAATGGTTGTTCAATCACATCAACCTATAGCTTGGATATTGAAAAATGTTTACTGCTACTTCTGTGTTTTGACTTTTACACAATCACTAGCCATTCATATTTGTATATACTTGAAGTTTAATGTGATTGCCATTTTATAGTTGTTATGCAAGCTGATGAACAAAATGGACTACTATGACCATTTTCTCATCTATGTCTTTTTTTGTTGTTCAAAGATGCTTACATATGCTGTGAAATGTCATCAAGGTTAACTACACAATGAAGTTCAAGTGTAAAAGTACAAACCAATACAAGTAACTACAGCATCAATATAAGAAATTTGTGGAGCAGAACTTTGTTTAGCAATATAATTCTAATGGTACAGCTTAATGTTATTTTACATAAAAATGTGTTGAACAGTATCTAAATCAGTTTATTGAATTCTAGCACTGATTTTAGTTATCATTTCTGAGATGTAGTTTCTCCACCAAAAGATGGGTTCTTCAACAATTTGAAAAATTTACCAATTCCTTGTGATGAATTCAAGGAAATTTCTTGGCAATGTCTAGCTAATTCTCCCATACACCTCTTGTAAGAAGAAAATGATACAGCCCATACATTCTTGTTGCTTGTGCATACTAACGTTTAGTGCCATAAACATCTAAACATAATCTGTGATCTATCCAGCATTCCCTGGTATTTATTTCATTGATAGAAGAATGTGACCATAAGTAATCACCACGCTTACCCACATCCTGGAAATCAGTAGAAAGTGACACTAAGGAAATATTTTGAAAACAGCTCTCAGAAGAAAAGATTCCTCCCATTTATCTTCTTACAGTTAAAGATTCCACCTCAAAGTAAGACATCTCTGCTATTTATGAAAGTATGCAGATGACAACAGACTTCAATGTTTCAGATGTAATTAAGTTGGAATATGGTATCTAATTAAGGGATCTTTATGTCCTTCAGTTTTTTTCACAAAGTGTTTGAAAGTTATAAATTTATCAGAAGACTGTCAAACTTTATGAAATGTGCTGATGAAACTGCTCTGTGAGCATGAAGCTGAATTGTATGCTTTTGCTTATTTGGCTATGATTTCCAAAGAAATTCCAAATCCAAACATGCTATCACAGTTAATATTAAAAGGCACTATCATTTGAAATATTTTAGCAATCAAAGGTTTTCTTTAATTAAAACGTGGTATTCCACAATGTTTTTAGGATGGCTATGATTATATCTTATTTGTCTACATAAAAATTTCCATATTCATTTAAAAAACATTTGTTTTTAATAAGATGTATGTTCTAGTTGTGACCTCTATCTTAGAACTGCTAGTTTTTATTTGAAAAATGCCAAAATAAGTCAAGTTAAGCTGGATATGAAAAAGATGAAATAGACTGAGTTAAATAAATGCCACAGATTCTGTGTATAGCCTCAAATTTAAATAATTAGTAGTAGACCACTGGTATACCACATAAAAAAGAATCATGATGTGTAATACTTCAAGTTTGAATATTGAAGATTTATATTTAGGTGAATTAATACGCATTTTGATTCTAACCTATTTGAATAGATTCTAGAAATAAGAAAAACAGTAATAATGCCATGAGTCAACACACGGGACTGTTACTACGTTTAACATTTATGCTTCACATCTGAGGCTAGTTCTTAGGCACTAGGAAGAAAAAATGACCTCAGACAAAGTCATGAAGGAATCCACAGCTGCCTTCAAACCTCATCCTATTTGATCTTTCCCCTTCTGGGACAGTCTGCATTCAGACTTTACATTTTGATATCCTAGTCTTATCTACCTTTCCTTCTACAAATCTCTATCAGTATTCTGACCAGGTAGTTTCCATTATGCTTCAGGGTACATAGATTTTAGCACAGGCCAAAGCTTGACCAATAAAGAATTCTACAGTGGTATAATTTATTTACAGTCTTCAAAACAGGTTGTAGGATCATTTTTTGTTGGTGGTGGTGGTGGTTATTCTGTTAAGTTATAGAACTTACCATTTTCTTACTCCTAAAACTTTGTTTTAGTATTACTAGGAAGAATTTAAGTAACACTAATACTCTCCCTTTTGTTTTGCAGAAAGTCAACCACCGAAGCAATTTTCAAAGCTGTTAAATAACGTTTTGTTTTCCCTAATAGTGTTGCTTATCTACAGATGGCTAACTTTGGACAACACGTTTTAGGTAACCCAAATTCAGCTGAAATAATTTAAAAAATTTCTTGATCTATATGTACATGCTTGTGTAAATTATATTTTCTTTTTCCTCATATTTTAGCATTCTGAAAAAAGTAAATTTGTAATAGTCACCATAGTTTAGTAAATAATGAGGAATACGTTTAATTAATGATTTGGTAAAGCTTATTTATTAGCATCTAAGAATGGACCTTAAAAAGTAACTTAAATTATAAAGAAATATGTGAGTTGATTTTTAAAAGACATTTTTACTCTAGCTTTGAATAAATATACCAAATATTGTTTAACATACAAAATACTAATTTTTCAGTTATTGAAGCATTTTATATAAAAGTTGCTAATTGAGTATTGCTATAACATTAACTTTCCACTTCAGCTTGTGCTTTTGGAAAGAGTCTAACAAGGGAACAAATTCTCACTTGATTTTCAGAAATACTCCTTTAGAGTACATGGATCAACAAAAGCCTAGGATCTTTTTGGTGCCCAAGTTCCTTTATGATGGACCTGAGAAGAGTTAAATTTAAAAGTATACAAAGAAGAATATCTAACAGCTTAAAGTATGGGTTCCTCTTCAGTGTTCCACTCCTTTAAACGTTGAAAAAGGACCTTTGGCATACATATGTATATAGGAAACTCCAGAGGAGAACAAAATGATTTCTAATTCAGTAAGAAAAAATGATGTGATGGAAAAGCCCGATCTGCTTTTTGATGGCTTAATGAGACATACAGTCTCTGAAATTTAATGATAATCAGTTATATTTGGTAATAAATATATATTGTAAATCAAATGCACTTGATAGTAATACAGTTTACATTTATTTATTTGAAAAACAGAAAAAGTTTCACGCTAAGAATATAAAGATCTTAACACTGGACCATTTTGTATATTTTAATATTATCTAAGTAGAACATCAACTTTGAGGCTAATAAGGAGTAAACTAGGAAAAAAGCATCATATTCCATAAGGCCAGTCATGTTTAATGGAGAATTTACTTATTAGAAAAAAAAATCTATGACTTGTAAAATCTTTCAGACATAGTCTATTACAAGTGTCTTTAAACTAGAATGATCTTGCACTACCAATAGAGTGGGTACTGACACATCAAGGAAACACTCTGATGCAAGGATGGTCACATCAGTAAAAGAAACTGTTTATCATATAGAAAGGCACTTAATAAAAATTTACATACTAGAGAGAAGGGTGCACTTTACATATTTCTTTTCTTCTTAATCTGAACAGTGGTCAGTATTCTAAACTCAGTGCGCAATTATATTTTTCTAAGTAGACTTTTGCAATAAGCTAATGATCTACTAGTTTAAAAATGGAAGATTTGTGAAAGGAAATTCCAATAGTATGTTTAAGGATCACATCCTGATTGAAACAAAAGAAAACATATTAATTTCTTGTCTTTGTCCAGCTGGAATATTTTATAACTTTTGGTTTAATCCTCATAAATATAATTTATCACCACCCAGAGTAATATTTTATAGTGAAGTTTCATATTAAAGAAAAATACAAAGCTTCTAATGCAGCAATTTCCATGGCCTTACCCTACACAGTGGGACAAGTCAAAAGCAAAAAATCCAGAGGAACATACTAGTTAAATTTTAATGAATAATTCGGAAATTTTATTTCCTACTCTTTACAAATGGCTATTACAGTCTTATGTTCTGATTTAAAATAATTTTATGAACTATCAACTAGCTTCTCCTGGAAGTATATGTGATTACAACTTACGAAATGTAAGATGACATCGCAAAATAATTTGTGCGTTTTGAGAATTATGCTTCAAGTGTTTGAAACTAAAGAGTGTTATCATTTGTATTTTAGTTATCCCCTCAGATTACACCACTATTCAGCCTATAAGGATAAGCTGTGAAGAGATGATTTCACAAACAAATTTTCAAAAGCATACAAGGTTAATCCATATGCTGCTGAGATGAGGCACAGAAAAGAAGCATTACTGAGATAGTCTATGGCTAAATGATGGTGTATGACTTATGATTAAGCTTCATTACCTGCAGAGCAAGGGGCTTCCATCTCATATTTTTCAGTAAAGCTGGTGCTGAGGTAAGCATGCTCTGAGGTCGCTTTTTCAAAGTTAAGATAACACCACTCGGGTCCTCTCGTAGTGCATTCACCAAATTTTTCAACTGCCACCCCACCTGGTAACCAGCAAAATCATTACAATAAAATTGAGGTACAGTACTCAAAGATTTAATGTTCTCCCCCTTTAATAAGATTAGTAAAAAAATCACATAATTGGTGTATAATCCTATCAAATTTTAGGAGATATATATTCAAGAAAGAAATGTTTTAGTTGAATTGATTAACCATGTTATTGCATTAGAGTCCATATAATTATGAGACAACATAATGGACATTTACCATGTCAAAGCAGAGACTAAAACCTTTCTTGCCATTTAAGTGATTTGGAAATGCAAATAAATGATATCACCATTAATATTGCTCAGCAGCTTTGTCTAGATCCAAACTCTGATCACAGGTACAATTTAAAAATCCATATACTTGAAAACAATGCTTTGACCTAACAAACCACACCACATGCTTTCTCATCACCATCTTTTGGAGATACGTGATTACAGGTGTCTTTAAATTAGACTGACATTGTACTATCAATAGCAGGTCCTGATACACCAAGGAAACATTCTGATGCAAGGACAGCTGAATCAGTAAAAGAAACCTTTTTATCATGTTAGAAAGATTGATTTAAAAATGACAAGGCAACACTACTCCAATGCAGCAGCTACTGGAAATGTGTTCCAAAGAATCCTAGAAACTTAAAATGATGTGTGCTAAATTCAATGAAGCCACTCTATTTAAATATCACCTCCAAACATGGTTCGATGGTTACTCATGTAAAATTACTTCACTTGTCATTCTTTAAAAATTTAAGCATAACAGTTTTTGTTAGTTTCCTTTTTAATGGACTAGTGATGCACTATCGGTAAATAAGGTCCTAGAACTGTATTTTAAAGAAACACACTAAAAATCTATCATTGTATGATTAGCTTTTAAATATATTTTTCACATTTAAAAGAAAGAATCTTTTATTCCAAAGTTATGGGTTATAAAACCCTGGGATATGTTATACAAATATACTGGGTCAAAATTTAAAGTAGATTGCAAAAATAATTTGGCAAATGGCCTAAACAGAGATGTAGTTTCTTCCTAGGCACCCAGGCAAAAAATATATTTTTTGTGTGTGCTCTTCAGCATGTTTTTTCCTAGAAGATATTACTCATGATGGAGAGAATAAGCACTTGCCCCAAATGAAGGAAAGACCTCTAGAGACTAAGAAGTAGTAATCTAGAATGCAGTCACTGCAGTTTAATATCAGACTGTGGTACATTCAATGAACATTCTATTAATGATATAGATTCAACCATCGCTGAATTGAATGAAGATGAAGACAAGGAACCAAGACAAAAAAGCAAGATGTATGCTGCTTAAAACCTCAAAATCTTGAATATGAATCAAAACGATCACTATGATACTTGACTAACATAAGAGGATGCTACTTTTGAAAAAAACCAACACATTCATGCAGATCAACCACAGAAATGGAACTTGCCAAATGCCTGCTATTGTATACAAGTGGGGACTGTTAAATACTCAAAGGTACTTTATACACATCCTGACTCCTTTCATAGCTAAGCAGTGTCCCGATAGCCATTTCTACAAGCTAAGAGTAAGAGCAAGTGAATTTGAATCTGTGCACGTATTTGCTTGCAAAAAAGGAAGCCGATTTTGAATTACAAATATGATGGTGAAAATAAATTCTTTGTACAAAATTTATAAATAACAATTAATAACCATATTTTCATTATTAACATAATCAGTAATTAATGCAAGAAACTAAGTGATGGCCAGAACTGATAGTTATCAACAATGAATTGCACACTTGTGTTTATTCCCAAGTTTCTTTGCATTTTATTGAGTAATATGATCACTACTAAGGCTATATATATATTTGACAGGGTCTCACTGTGTAGTTACGGGAAGCCTCAAACTTGTGAACTTGTGACAATCCTCTTCACTCTGCATTCCAAACGTTTGGATTATAGGGATACCCTACCACACCAGGCTTTCTCAAACACTTTTAAAACTGTATGTTTTCCTTTGAAATTTTCAGTTCAATTGAATCCATCTTTTTCTTTTATACTTTTTATATACTTCTGTGAATAAATAATTCAAAATATAATTGTTTGTCCATGAAAAAGTGGGATTGTTTTTGATAATATAGTTAACTTGAATACACTTTAATTTTATACCTGGATGTTACTTTATAGCAGAAAATTTGGATTTATTATAATTTTATTATGCTTTAATCAGCCTTTCTACTAGCACTGACATAACATCATCAATGCTTTCAACAAAAGTAAACAAACATGTATTGAGAATCACAAGTAGTGAATATCTTTGGTTCCCAAATCCTACTTCTATTACCATAAGGAAATGACAGGACGAATGTGCAACATGTAACGATTAAACTAATATTGAATATTCTGTAAATGTTCACTGCTAAGGGATGTAAAAACTTTTGTGTGGAACAAAGTAAGTTTCAAAATGGGAGAAGTATTTTTTGTTAAAAAATATAGATATGGAAGACAGAATGATATGTTATATCATTAATGGCAGTTACATTAAAGAGAGTAATGTATTTTCTTCTTTATACATTGATATCTTTAACTTTTGTCAATAAGCATTTGTTACTTTTGAATGTCTCTTATTTCGTCAATCTTCTCTCAAACTTCTTAATTTAGAGAACTTCAATTGTTTTCTATTTTCTTTAGTTTCTATGGACTGAAAGTGTCATACTTACCAATTGTTTTCATTGGCAAATATGATGTGTTCCTGTAACTCCAGGAAAAACGATTCCCAGATCTAGTTCTGTGATATCATAATATATAATGAGGTACAATGAATTACTGAAATAAATTACCTTCCTGAGATACTTATAGTTGACAATGAATAGAAGGTGGGATAAAAGACGCATGCGTGTGTTTCAACATAAAGATGGCTGAAGCCTCCATTTAAAGAGCTTAATATAATAGTGCACAAATGCCAAAACAGATAAAATATACAAATGCATGTGAATCAGTTTTCAAGATTACTTTTCCATTTCCCTATTTATATTTCTGGCTAGCTTTAAAATATTAAGCGTAATAGACTCAAATGATAGAAATCTACATGACAGAAATCATGTGAAGATTTTTAAGTAATATGAAAAAAATATTTCATTCTTTCCATTAGCTGTAATGTTTTTATATAGTAGGAGATTGAGGGAACTTTGAAGAAGAGGCAATTCTAGTAGCTACTAATATTAACAGTATGAGCCATCAATATGGGAAGTAATCAAAGTGTAAAATTTAGAGACAATATGTTATGAATAAACATGAAAAAACTCTTAAACATAAGTCAAGATGTATAAAAGAGGAAATGATTGACTTCTGGAACAGTGAGTTCAACACCGAGAGTTATTTCAATAATCTTGCACAGGTCAAGTGATTATAGAACTTCTGAAATCACAATATAGTACAGTTTTAACAAGGAGTGGGTGGGACAAAGAAGTGATAATAACAAATTAACTTCAGGAGAGGCATGTGGTCCTGCTACTTCTCTACCTTCTTGCCCTCCATCTTCTCTTCCTCCTTATAAGTAAATATAAATATAGATATTGCGTCAAGGTAATATTTAATATCTAACGGTGTCTTCTTACAATAATCTCTTTCAAAAGTTTCCATCAGCAACTTCCTACATATGACTCCAGTTTTTCTAATAATTTCTGTTTCCTATCAAGAACTTTAGTCACATATTCCAACACTGATGCTAGTACCTACTAAATAATCAAGTACCAATAGTTCATTGTGCTAGATTCTTCATATTCATATGAAATTATTTTAATCTATACTTTCACTATTACAAAAGCTCTATGAGGTAAACTATTCAAATATTTTGCTTGTAAAAATTGAAACAAGATGGCTTTAGGGGCTAAAACTTTACAAAGATTAAGTGGCAAAGACAGAATTTACATTCAGATCTGTTCAGTTGTACAGTACAATATCTTCATTCAAATATCTATTGGCATCCCAAATGTAAGCAGTATTTAAAAAGTTAATCTCATTGTATGCATTTTCATTTACCACTACCACCACCATAACCATCACAGCCACCACTAATTTCCATATCCTCATCCATCGACATCAATTATTTACGTTTGGAGTCAACAATGGCTGCCCCTCCCTTAATACATGTATGTATCATAAAAATATCCTGGAAATTAACACGTCTTTTGATTGTCTTAGTTCTAGCCTGAGTACTTGGCAGACTTAAAACAGAGTCCTAACCTACCTTTCTTCTAGTCTTTTACATCTCCAAAATACCACTATGTGCAAAAGTTTTCTTCTTTTTAAAGCTTTTAAAGAGCTGATCAAACTTATAGCACCCCCAAATTATATCTGTTTTGTTTGGATATCAAACATATGAGAAGCACCCAGAAGGCTTAAATGACAAGATTCTTGAATTTTCACTCCAGAGATTCTGATCTAGTACTTCTGGGGTGTAAAATACAAGTTACCAAATGATGCGGATAGTACTTGCTATTGATTTGGGAACCACACTTTGGAAAATTGCTACAATAAGTGATGAGCTCCTTGAAGGCACTTACTGGCTGATGTCTAGAATATTTTATGTGTTCAATTTGATTTTAAGACTGGACATAACTCAAATCAGTATTTATTGTGTGCCTGGTAGCATGGATATAACAACAAGTGCGGAACAATCTTTGGCCCACTAAAGAGCATAATGAGCTTCGGAAGAGCTGAAAAAATATTTAGAATACAATAAAGGAAGTACCTCATTAGAAGAAGTACAAGGTACATTGGGCCCCCCACCCAAAGGGTTAGGGGTTAGGCACCCATTCCTTTCTTAAGGGTTCAGGCTTCCAATGAGTTCAGCTGGATTCTTTAGGATTTCTAAAGATGAAGAGTATGTAGACATTGAAGAAGTGAAATATGTGAGGCAAAGTATCATTACTTGGAGCAACTTTAGGCTTTTTCAAAGTGAGAGCTGGTTAAGGAAAAAAATGTGTGCTTGCCTCAAATACTGAGGTTTGCCTTTAGCTGTATCTTTGCAAAAGCAC